TTTATTTCTTTAGTGTTCTGTCTGACGACAGGTCCATATGAACAGGATTCTTCCATCCTTTTCTCGGACTGGGATCTGTTCATATACGTTCTTGGCAGATGATCGAGAAGTGGTTTGCCATTGCCTTCTTTTGTGTGTGAATGGAGTAATTGTTGGGATGCCATGGAGGAAAACTCCGTGTTGCCTAGACCACGGCCTTGCCCAACACAAGTTATAAATTCGGGCACCGCCGGGAATCGAACCCGAGACCCCAGGATTACAAGGCCAGCGTTCTAACCGCTAGACCACCGTGGCGGTACCCATACATTTACTTCTACAAAAATGTAAAATATTCACTTCACACTTCCAAGAACAAATTTAATTCAGTTGTTTGTTACAAACATTTTTCTCCTTTGTTTTCAGTAAAATTTCAGGTTACCTTTTACATCCATACATAGAATTCTTTAAACATTTTCCAGTAAAACTGCAATTGTTGGCAAATGAAAGTATCTATGAACATTCATTCAGAAGTTAACATCACCCTAATGTCTGGAGAAATAAAAGGTTCAGACTTATGAAAGTTGCATTATACTCTTCTAGAAGTTATATTAGGTAACCTCAAACAATTTTGAAGTATAATTAATATTCTGATAATATTTGTATGTGTCAGGTTTAGTAAGTATTTATCACTAAATGCAAATTAGTTTATAGGTATCAGAAGATTTTCTTTAAAAAACATGAACCTAGAAGGTGTCCACAAAGACCAATTTAGTGAAATCACCTTAAAGTGCTTTAATATGAAACTACTATATTCCCAAAACCACTGAATCAATACAAACTGGTTCAAAACATATTGCAGATTTATTACAATCCAGGTAACTCAACTTGTCACTGTGTACGTACACATTACAGAAGCAAAGCCAGTAACATATAAGATCATCTCCATTTCTACTGTAAGTAATACTTTATAAATTCTATCCATGTTTGCCTCCTACTAATTTTAAATGGTTCTAACAGAAGTGATATATGTTTATATACATACACACATTCTTAAAATCCATCAGGAAAATGGTCTTTGCTTTCCATTTTTTTACTTCTGTACAGTTTACATTTTATCCTGTCAAGACTGTTAAGAACCTTTCCACTGATATAGTTCGTATCATTTTTTCTTTGGTATAAAACTGCTTTATTAATACACAGAATGAATTTCAAAGAGACACTCTAGTCCTATCAAATTTTCTGGAACAGAAACCACGTGACTGCAGAAATATGCATGAGTTCAGATGCCATTTATTACAACAAACCTTTAAATTTTACTCTCTAAATTATATCAGAGGTTTTCAACCTTTGAAGACCTTGGGCCACAGTCACCTTTCTTATCAACTTGCAAATCAGTAAGTTACAAATAATGACAATTTATTAAACCTTCATGGTAGTTTATTAAAAATGTAATCATGATGTGTGAGATTGTAATATAAAATGTCAGTTGGTAAAATGAGGGGAAGACTAGGAAAGGAGAGAAGGATGGTACAATAAGAATGGGAAACCATTCACCATAATTGGCAAGCAAAGTGAACAGGGGCACAGCCTCCAGTACATACACACTTTCTTCTGCAAAACATGTAATGTATTATATTCAGCTTGGACCAATTCTGACAGAATTTGATCATCATCTGGTTATTTATACTTTTTCAGCCCTTCAATAGCATTCTGAACCTCAAATTAACTAGGTTTAGTTACTAATGACTCCGTTATATGTATTTCAGTCTGCCTAATATTGTTAACCCATGTACATTCAATAGCCGACTAAAGTAATTCTAACGCCTATTCGAAACATTGCAGCATGCAAGCAGATCACCATTCTTATCTTTTCCCAAGTTAATTCTGTGTTGATAACCCTTCTTGAATTTATTTATGCCCTTGTACAGGGCTAAAATTTTACACAGCTATAATGAGAAAATTCTTACCACACTTCTCTTCTAGTAGAAGTTTTGCTAATACAACTTGTGATTCGGGACACCCATCTTCAGCTAGCTGACTTCGAAGGCGTCGCAATGACCCTCTAGGACCATCTAAGACAAAGAATATGTACAATAAAATATTGTCACAATGGGACAACTTCACAATAGAATGATCATGTAGTTGAATAGTTTCTTTACATTGGATTTGGATTTGTTGGAAAAATATGTTCAGATGGTGAAGAGCATAACTATATTGAAACACTGGTAAAAAAAAGTGAGCATACTGTTGTACTATAAAGATATATTCTTGTTTGCAATGTACTGATATGTTGTTAAATTTTAATGCATGAAGAGTCACATCAAATCTAGGCTTCCTTGTAAAGCTGTTGTTAATGAAAAAAAAGGCATGACTTTCCAGTAGTATTACCATGATGTGCCATATAATATAGCCTTACCACGGCACTTACCTGCATAAGGCCCCTGCAGTAAAAGGCTGCACAAGAGGTTTCATCCACTCTTTTGAAATAGGTTACACTGATAACACAAGACAACACACCAAGTTCATGCAAGGATGAACTATCGGGTGCTTAATCAACGCCTAATTCCTGTCACAAGCTTTTCCTTTTCTTGACATCAAATTTACGTAACGTTGCCAGGTTATGAAATGTAAAATTTCACCACTAATGTTGGGCAATCTTAACTAGAATTGGTCAAAAATGTATAAAACATAATTGTAATTGTAAAAATGTAGTTATCTTCCTATTGTGGACATGAACTTTACGGTTCAACCCGTACTTCAGAGATGTATGCTACGACCATTTAAGGTTATGTTTTGTATAAATAGCTTTGGCGGTACTTTAAGTCACGGATTTATGAATTTCCTGCCAGTACCATACTTAGTGACATTTATAACACAGAAATAGCAATTCAAAAAATAGTTTACCGTGTAAAGTCCATTGCTTTCTACTTGATACTTTCTGAGGTAACGGCACCACACCTGCCATGATTACTCACAAACCGTACCATAGACCATCTTGGTAACATCTCTGGACAATAACATGTTTACATTTTCTGTGCTATAGACTCAATAACAAAGATCAGCATCACCAGCAAGGAATAGCAGGAACGATAAATCGTCAGAAGTATATATCTTAGATTTATATGTTTAAGTAATCATATATACTTTAGTAATATGGTTATAACTGTTTGTATACCTGTAAAGAACGATTGCTCATTTGGCACTTGGCTTTAAGGAAAGTTTAAAAATATTTCTATAGTTGCTACCATAGATGATATAAATCTACAGCTGATTTCATTTTCCCAACAGGAGAGTAATATCAATGAGAGTCTTGTATTTAACGATGATGCTGATGCTAATTGGAATCGACTAAAACGGGAGGACGTTTTCATACGATAAAATGGAAAGTATGAAGTCACGGTTTATTCAAGACAGGCAGGATAATCAGTTATTTCAAGCCAGTAACCACTTATCCACAGATTTAGGTAGTCCCAGAGCATGATGCCAAGGAATATATTTGGTCATAATATTGAAATCACAGGAGAAATAAATAGTGAGAAACGCTGTAATTTGTAAGGTTCACGAAATGTTAGTAGGATGATTAAATCAAGGATGAAGAGACGGGGTGAGACGTGAAACGTGATGCGGGAGATGAAGAAACTTGCCAGAATTTTGGTTGGCCAACCTGAGAGGAAGCGACTGTTTGGAGGACTAAGGCGCAGATAGGCATGTAACATTAAAAGATGGAACTCGTGGAATTAGGGTTAAAATTTGTGGAATGGATTAATTTTGCTCTGAACATGGACCGGTGGCGAACTCTTGTGAACCCGGTAGTGAACCTTCGGATTACGTAAGAGGCCGGAAATGTCTTGACTAGTTATGCGTACGATTATAATATCAAGGTCTGTGCTGCATTGAGTTTACCGCCGGCCGTCGCTCTTGAAAGGACACGAAATCCTCGACAACCACGGATTACCAACAACCATCTTCTGCCAATGTAAGTGCGATTTTGTGTTTTCGAACGGTTCATGTTTGCATGCTGCCATAATCTTGTTCGGATAACGGAACTAATATAAATTTGAAAATTTATGAAAATAAATTGTGGAAGTTGCACATTTTGAAATCAAATTATAAATTTTAAGAGTTCAATGGGCGGTCAAACGGGAATACATGATGTGTTAGGAAATGTACTAACAATTCTGGCTTCATTTGCCACTGTTTGATCTTTGAGATTGATGCCAGTGACTTCTCTGGAATACGCCATCAGGAAAGTCCAAGGTAGGCAGAAGGGTTTGCAATTGAATGGGACACATAAGCTATTGGCATTTGCTGATGATGTTAATTTATTGGGGGACGATATAAATACAATAAAGAGGAACACAGAAGTTTTACTAGAGGCTAGACTAAATACATGTTAGTATCTCGTCGTCAGCAAACAGGCGGGCAGAATTGTCTTAGGGTGGCTAATAAGTCCTTTGAAAGCGATAAAAAGTTCAAATATTTGGGAACAACAATAACAAATCAAAACGATTCTCATGAGGAAGTTAGGAGGAGACTAAATTCTGGAAATGCGTGCTACTTCTCAGTTCAAAATATTTTGTCTTCCCGTCTGATTTCTAAGAACCTGAAGATTAAAGTATACAAAACAATAATCTTGCCTGTTGTTTTGTATGGGTGCGAAACATGGTCTCTCACTCAGAGAGAGGAACATAGATTCAGGTGTTTGAGAATTGGGTGTTGAGGAGGATATTTGGGCCTATAGATGGGAGGATAATCTCAGGCGGGATCTATGGGAGATAGGAGTTGAAGGAGACTGGATTTTGTTGGCCCAGGACAGAGTCTGGTGGAGGGCTTTGGTTAGTTCGGTTATGAACCTTCGGGTTCGGTAAGCCATCTGGTTGGTTACCAGTGACTTCTAGTCGGTGATTCCCCATGTGATTGTGTGGGTTATGTAAAGTTCCCGTTATTTTCAGCTTTTAACAAACATTTTAATCGGGTGACACATTTTGAAAAAAAAAACATTATCAAATTTCACGATCATCCATTCAGGGGTTCTCTATTTGTTACAGTCGAACAGACTGACACAAAATACCAAGATGATAGGGGCATTTTTGTAGCGTTTAGTTGTGAACACACCTGCAAAGTACAGATAAAGTTCTTTGTGCTTAATTAAGCACCACAAAAGGATTAATGCTAGAAAAATGTTTATCTTTGCGTTATTTGATGTTAGAATTGTTAATCTGTAACTTTTCGTATCTCGTTAGAACAATTAAATATTATAGCAGTGGACTCATTAATATTTCTTTTGTTGTGATGGAGTTTATTACAGTTGTGCGAACAGTTCCTTTCATCTTCTTATTTACTTACTGAATGCACGAAGAATTATCGACAGAACCGAAGTATAAATATTTGTATCCCTTCGTCCTTCCGCTAGCTACATCACGACATCAACAGAGAAATCCATGTTGTCCGTTAATTATTAGCGAAGGACTCCCAACTTACGACTTTAATAATTATTGTAGTTGTAACAGACGTATTTCGTATTTATAACTACCTCCCCTAAAACTTAATCTCTTGAACTAAGGGCTCCGGTTGCTTGTCCGTGTGTTCCGGTGTTATCCCGGAAATGAGCAATCTTTACGTAGTCTTTTGCCGGACTTAGTTTTCTCATATTGGTCAGGGGCTATGATGATGTTGCATGTCGAGTAAGTTGTTACTGGTAAGAGATGGTAAAGTTGCGTCATATTGTGATATAATAAATATATATTATTTAAATCTTGTCCGTCTAATCACAATAAATTCTTATTAAATATTAAAATATTACAATAATTAACATTTAAAATATATCAAATGATGTTCTTTATCGAAATATTCGATTTACATTAGACCATGATGGTCTAATGTAATGTGCGCTCTCTTAGCCTTATTTATTATTATTATTATTATTATTGATTTCACCATTACCAGTAATACAACGTAAGATTAATATATGGATGATGACTGAATATTGTATTTATGTTGAATCTCATTAACCTTTCTTGTCTTTTTAGTAAAACTTGCAGGATGTAATTGCATTTTTCTTAACAAGTAAAGTACGTTACGTTGTAGATAAAAATGTGCTATTTCGTCGGCACTAAGGCTACACATTATTTAGAAATTATGTTTCATATACGAGGTGCGATCGGAAAGTTTCAAGACTGTGTCAATAGCGGGCGAACCGGATTTAGTACGAGCTTCTGCCTTTAGGGGGTGCGGCCTACATTCATAGTGGATCAGTGTGCCATCCGGCATCATCGAATTAGCATTTGTTTCTTAGTTACGGGCGTTTTGGTAGTGCATTACACCGACCCTCCTGAGATTTCGGTCGCTAAAAATGCGCCATATCGAAATAAAACTACAGAATATCTTTATAGTTCTTTATGAGTTCTTTTTGTTATGCATGTACACATATTGTGGACTACTAGGAGTTTGTGAGAAAAACACCAACGTTCTATGGTCTTCTTATACAGTAGGATTTATACATTTATTTATTTGTATTTGAACAATACGAACAAAAATTAAATTTATTCAACTAGTTTCAATGTAAACCTCCACTGCCAAATTTAATCGAAGTACGAACAGAAAATTTAAACGTGATTTAAAAGTGACACATAAACCTTCCTATTATGGGTCAATTCTATGCACTTAGGGCAAAATTTACAGATATTAATGAGCGTAATGAGCCACGGTGGTCTAGCGGTTAGAACGCTGGCCTTGTAATCCTGGGGTCTCGGGTTCGATTCCCGGCGGTGCCCGAATTTATAACTTGTGTTGGGCAAGGCCGTGGTCTAGGCAACACGGAGTTTTCCTCCGTGGCATCCCAACAATTACTCCATTCACACACAGAAGAAGGCAATGGCAAACCACTTCTGGATCATCTGCCAAGAACGTATATGAACAGGTCCCAGTCCGAGAAAAGGATGGAAGGATCCTGTTCATATGGACCTGTCGTCAGACAGAACACTAAATAAAAATATAAAATTTGCGATGTTAGGATGAAGTCGCAATTTATGACTGGTTTCAGTACTTTTTGATTGCAGTGTATTAGCATTTATTTATTTCTTTTTGTGGTTTCGGTGGTTACAGAATTGACTTAACTCTAATAAAAAACACACAACCGATATAATGTATCCCATGAACAGGAAATAGAATGCAGATTGCAAATGCTCCATTGTCAGGGAAATGTATTCTCCTGGAGGCAGATTGAAATCTGATGCCTGTTCAAGATTGGCGGTGTACTTTATACTGTTCCACCATAAATCTACTAACCCAGCTTGCATCATGGAAAGTAAGACTTCGTCATACCGAGTCTTAAACGGGGAACCTTTCGGAACAAAGATCGTTATAAAATTGAAAGCAAAATCTTCTTCGATCTCACAAATTATTGGCTTGCCGTTGGCATCCATATATTTGACAGCTATTTTATAATCCACGAGATACTTGGAGAACAGAAATGCCAGCGTACCTTTCGAGACTCTTTCTTCGGCTGTGTCAATGTAATCAGTACCATTCATGTGTTTATATCGCGTTCCGGCGAGTTCACCGTATAGAGATATAATGCTTGTTTCAGTATTGTAATCGATTCCAGAAGCGAGGATTTCATCTTCTGAACCTAACTGGCGTTGAAGTCCTGGATCTATTAAGAAGCTTGTAAAGTATGTCTGGTACACGGTGTTGATAGCCCAACAGTACAACACCCACGCAAAGAATACGGCTCTTATCAGTACCACGTCAGGAGGGTTGTTGGAAGCAGACTCTTCAAGGATAATAGCCCAGAAATTAAGTAGACACTTGGGTAAGCTGGTATAAGCCTGGTTCAGAGCTGCCTCGGTGGAAAAATAACTGTTTATCTTCACTACCTGCCACATTATGACTGAAATAGCTACGTAAGCTCCAAGGAAACTCAGCCAAAGTGATAGTTTGAAGACCCTGGTGAGGCTCATCCATCTAGGATATGGCACGGCACATGGGACGTACCATCTGACCTTGTCGATAAGATGAGGTCTCAGGCACTCGATTTCTTTGACTAAGTGGCACCTGTACCACAGACAGTCCATTCCGATATCTGAGTAGCTCCTGGCGATTTCACCCGTCACGCCGTTCCACGTTCCGTTACCGATGTCCCAGCCCCACTGTCCGCCATCAGGCGGGGCGTCGCGGTATTTTATGCTACTGTTCGTACTCTTCGCAAATTCTGATAGAATCTGTACCTCCAGGCCTTTGTCATACGTAATACTTTCAGTGTCTGGTTTAATAGTATTCTTTCTCATTACCATAGGTGATAGTTCAAAAGTAGAAATCGTCAGGGGACAGCCATGAAGATCTCTAGGAATTTTCTGCGGGAAAAGAGACGCGTTGTGAAGAAAACGTCCAATGCTTGCGTTGTTCAGTACCCACTGATCCCAGAGAACAGCTTCTTTTATATCAGGACATTGACCTGCAGGGTGGTACGGAAACCAAATATACGCGTCCAATACGTTCACAGTGTCTGTTGTGTATTTATTTGTTGTTGGAATCAAGACAACTGAGTCCACTACTCTTGACATCCACAGTTCAGCAAAAATATCTGTAGCAAGCATTTTAGCATCTGTGTCCGATATCTCTGTAGCCAGTATTACAAATTTTGCTCTGGGGTTCCACCCCCAGTTGTGTTTTAATTTCTGCAAATGGTGTCCTATATCCTTCATTACATCCTTATGCAGATGATATCCAGACAGTAGTACATATCCATCGTTATTGTTTGACGGCACCTGATCTTCTAGGCCGTCGTTTGCGCTGAAGGAAAGTAAAGTCCATTCTTCAATCTTGTTGAATTCCTCCAGTATCATATGCCATAAATCCACGACGGAACGCAGCTCACTAAAACTATTTTCTTGGACTCTCTCAAATGTGTAATAGTCTGGGAATATGTTTCGAGAGGCAGAGAGGTTGTCCACTGGTATGTTGTGGGATAAAACTATAGTGTTTGATGGCGTAAAATGACGTGTCGCGATGTCACACAAGCTGTTTACCAGCTGAAGGTACAGGCCACCTGATGTCTTTTCAATCAGACACAGTATGAATATTACGAACGCGACGTGTTTCTTGAAAGAGCACATCTTTTACCAGAGTTCGCTGACAATACTTTGATGAACTGTGACTTAAGACTGTTATTGGTCCGATTTCACTATGAATATCAAAATAAATTCGCTTTTATTTTTTCATTTCAAATGGACTAAACACGTAAACTGCTATTACACATACACAGAAAAATCAAATAATTATATTTTCCTTCATAATTTAATGGTAGCATGTAATTTTTTTTTATTATTTGCTGTGTGCCGAATTGATATGCACCGATCTTTTTAAAAGTCTTCTTTGTTAATAATGAAGTGATTATGCAATCGTTAAATAGTCCCGCTGGGTCGCTGGTGTTTTTCTTTTGTCGAGAAATGAATGCTGTATCCTATTAAAGAATTATAAAACATGACACATACATTATGAAGCAAGGATTTTGTCTTAGTTACATACTTTGGACTTTCACTTCTTTAAAGATATGGAAGGAAATCGTAACACAATCAATATACCAAAGTTGTGTAAAGCAGATGATACAAACTTCTTATCACTTCATAGCATAAAAAACTATATTATTCTTTGGGATAATATGTCGTGCTATTATTTCCGAATACGTAACTTCTCAATTGAATAAAAATTTCCTTGGATATTATCCATCGTCTAGTAAATATAAAACGTAAAACGACGTTTCGGAGATGGGACTCTATCTCCGTCTTCAGGTTCCTACACAGTTGGGCCAACTAGATAGAGCTAATCCCTATCTCCAGAGATCGGGATCCCATCTCCGAAACGTCGTTTTACGTTTTATATTTACTAGACGATGGATAATATCCAAGGAAATTTTTATTAAACTGATAGATAATGATCGACGTTTCAGGAGGTGTTTACTATCTCCATAACAAGACTGCAAGGCGTAACACAGCCATCTTCAGTACTCATCCTGTCATACGTCATACTCCCAGCTCCTGACAGCGTAGTTAAGTGAACCGCAGATAAATAAATAAATAAAATAAATATACTATATTTACTCTGAAACGAACCAAGTGCCAGGTCAGATGAAATCCCTATCGCTTGTTGGTCCAAGGCCTGCTTTCTAGAAGCTGATGGCACGCTCAGGTAGTCAATGCATTGCCCGTAATTTATGGAATCCAAAGGATAATAATCGTGTTCGCAATAGCCAGATTAATCCAGTCCACACACTCCAACTCTGTTTCCTTAAGTTCTGTTTTAGTACCGTAGCACGTGACTTTTTTT